GGACAAAAAAAAAAAAAAAAAAGATTATCTTTGATCAGTTTTTAAAGTCTTACAACTCAAGTGACTGGGGAGGTAGCTCAGTGGTAGATCATTTGCCTAGCATATGTGAGGACCTGGGGTCAATCCTCAGCACCACTGAAAAAAAAAGGAGCTCGCTCTGCTCCCTGTCCGCCATTCTGTAAGCAGCTTTCCTCCACCAGGCTCCATTGCCATACTATCCCACTTTGGAGGCAGCCAAGCGTGGACTGGCGCCTCTACAAACTGGAAGAGGACAGAAACAGGAGGAAAGGAAAGGGAGGACAAGGAGGCAGAGAGTCCAGGATCCAGGTCCTTCCTGGCTCCCAGAGCCAGCTTATGATGAGAGGAAGAGCTGCAAGGGCAGCTCTGGGCATGGGGCACATGAGACCAGGACCCAGACCCAGCTCAACCAGTTGGCAGCAAGCAGAGCCACCAACTTCTGCAGCATATCAAAAGAGTCCCAGGCACTAGGTTTTGATATTGGAAAAAAGTTACATAGTCAAGAGTCACCTGTCAGTGGAAGAGGACTAAATGCAATTAACATTCTGACCTCTTGTCCAGAAGAGATTGTATATTTTACCTCAATGAACAGAGAGCAAAGTAAAAGACAGGTAAGAGGAAGTAAGGAGATAAGAGGATGGTGAACATGAGATGAAAGGAGGGAAAAGGGGGAATGAATAAAAGTAATTAAGATGCGTTATATACATGAACCAATAAAGAATGCAAACATTATGTACTGCAAACATGTACTAATAAAAATGATTTTAAAAATACAAATAATACAAAAAAGGAAAAATCAAAGACACCCACACACAAAACTACTGCACACCAGACATTATTCATAAAAGTGTTTTAGTTTTTTTAGCTAATAAAAAGTCTCCCATAAAAATCAACAATGAAACCAAAGAAAATTAAAACCAATTTAATCTGATTAACTATTCCCAACAAATACTTCTGTAAATGGAAGAAAATGTTTGATCAAAAATCTAGAAACTAAGCAGAAATGGACCTCAAATACTAGAAGACTGCAGAAGTAAATATTTAATAACTCAAGAGAACTTTCCAAAAATAAAAAAGACATGAACCTATACATTGTAATACAAAACTGATACAGAATGAACAATTTTTTTTTTAAAGTTGTAAAAGTATTAGAATTTAAGATTTAGGAAAAGAAATTCTCAGAGCTCCCAGATAAAAGATAAAATAACTGAAAAGCCAAGAAAATTAGACTGACATTTTATTTCTCAAAACAACACAAAAAGCAAAGCAATGATGAAATAATTGTCAAGAAATTGTTTAGTTCATCAGGTTTTCTTATATTAGGGCTACCATATCCAGCTAATCTGCCCTTTATGTTTCAAGGCCATATAGAAACAGTGAAATACGTGCATAGGATGGGCTTCATCCAATCAAAAGGTAAGAGAAACCTTCATAAGAGGAATGTAAGACTTTTATAAAGCCAAATAAAGGACTAAAATCAGAGGTAGGATCATAGGTCAAAGGAGGTATAAAATTCATATGTTCTGACAAAGTAGAGAGAATATAACTTTTAAAATGGGCCAAAATGAGGGTAATGAAAAGAATGTAATTACCATTACATAGGCAATAAGTAGGAGCCAAAAATTTCTGGATTCCTTACAGGTAGTAAATGGTTAACTCAGGACAGTATTAAAGAGTATATAAGTATAAAAAGTTTTAATGCAAAAGAAACCCACTGGATTAAAATTTAACCTTTCACAATGGCAAAATAATAATTTCAGCCAACATGTTGATGAATGCCTATAATCCCAGCAACTGTGAGGCTGAGGCGGGTGGGCCAAAAATTAGAGGCTATCCTGAGCTCACTGCAAGTTCAAAGCCACCCTAAAGTACATAGTTCAACTCTGCCTCGAAAAACCAACAAATGAAAACCAAACAATACAAAATACAAAAAAATAAATAAATAAATTTTAAAAAACAAAGCAGAGTGTCAAAACACAGCTAATTGGTAGAAAGCTTGCCCAGCATGCCTTAGGCCCTGGAGTCAGTACCTAGCATCATCAAAGAAAAACAAAAACAACAAACCAACAAAACCAAAGCAGAAATAGATTACCAAATAAGTACAGTTAACTGTAAACAATATATAGAATACTTACATATAAAATAACACAACAGAACTAAGGCTTAATGAAACAGACCTATTGGGCTGGGGATTTAGCTCAGTGGTTCCACTGCCTCCTTGCAAGCACAAGGTCCTAAGTTTGATCACCAGTATCCCTGCACCAAAAGAAATAGCCCTGTCAATATATCTCTAGTTTTAACTTGTGTGTTAAAATAAGAAGATATTCAAATTGACTGATAAAACAGAACTACGCTATATGCTGTATACAAGAGATACACTTAGAGAGCTGAGACATGACAGGAAAAAGAAATGCCAGAGCTGGGAGACAGCTCAGTGATACAACACATGTAAGGCCCCGGGTTCAATCCCCAGCATCCCTAAACTCCTTCCCAAATGCAATGCCAAACCTAAACTGAATCTTGCACTAGAAGAAGGAAAACGGCATAAGTGCATTAGATGAAATGACAAAACCGGATACAGATGATAAGTTAGATAAAAGTACACATATGAATTTAATACCTGTATATGGACTATGGAAGAGAATATCACTATTTTAGAAAATAAACTGAAGGAGTAGAAGCAAAAAAATCAATGATGCATATAATTTACTCTGAAATGATTCAGGGAAACACACACACACACAGACTCATACACACAATGATAAAATGTTAACGGATAAGTCTGAGCTAAAAAGTGTACTATTATCCTGGTATTTTAGGAAGCTAAAGCAGGAAGATTATTCAAACTCAAGCCCAGCCTGGGTTACCAAGTGAGAACCTGTATCCAAAAAAGATTGTCTGGGGATGTAGGAAAGGTCCTGGTTCAATCTCCAACACCAAAAACAAAAGCATACTATTATTCTTTGTACTATTTTATTTTGACAAATTTCTGTTAAGTTTGGATTTTTAAATTTTTAAATAAAAAAACTACAGCACAAAATTAGTACTATGGTACTAATAGATTTTATGTCTGTTAATAAATATTTAATTTGCAGAAAAAAATTTACTTTCTTAAAAAGATAAATTACCTGCAACTTTAGGTGGGAAAAGAAAACAGCTTACCCATGAATGGGAATAGCAAAAAGCTTTTCCATATTAGAAAGAACGACTCTTACAGTCTCTGGTGTTCTGGAAGATCCCAACTCGGTCACCAAGAGTGACTTGGTAATATCTGGAAAAGAAATGTTTTAAACAGACACTAGATTTTAATTGGACTTCCAGAAAAAAATCTGATACATATAATTCAGAATAAAATAGGACATTTTATCCCTCTTCCTAATTTTATTAATTTTTTTCTAAACTTTAAAATATTATTTATCCTCAAGGAATAATTTTATTATCAAAAAGTTATGTCTTTTAAAATTATTACTCAAAATGTACAAAATATAACCCGTTTACCTATGTGCCTACCTTTAGTTAGAAGTCTCTAAAACATTAAAGTAGAAATTAGAAGTTCTATAAGAAATTTATGTATAAATTTGAAATAAAACAAAGTTAAAGTGGCATCTCTCTTATTTGACCTCCATTTTACTAAGGTGACAGGTTATCCAGTATTTTCCATTCCCCTCTAGAACTGTCAAGACTGAATCTCCCACAATTCACCTCTCCACTCTTTATCTCCTTCGATGAGGTAAGATGCACACTTACCATCTTGTTGTTCCCAATGTGTTTATAACTGCTGTACTAGTTTTGACAGCTACACAACATATTAAGTGAAAAATGATTAAGGATTGGGGATGTACCTCAGTGATAGAGCACCTACCTGCCTGGCATGCATGAGGCCAAACAAACAAAAAAGTGAAAAATAATTACACAAAGGAAAAGAGCTGTAGTTCTATGAAAAGCTACCATAGTCTTTCAGTTCAAAGTTGCACCTTTTTTTTCCACATTATTATCTCAAAAATAGGATGTACTGTCCAATTTGTGGGGTCTTAGAGTTCAGTAAAAATAAAAACTAAAAATATGCTCTCAATTTAAGTGTGGGAGGTGATACATTATAAAAGGCTAAAAGGATTATGAACTCACACTGCAAGTATTTTTAAATTCTTGCTATACTTAAAAGAATCTGAAAGCATAATCTATGGAAAATAATGGATGGCTTAAGAAAGAAAGGTAATAAAACCTCAACAGCTGCCAATTAGATGCCAATTATCTAGCTCACAAAAAGTGGTCAGTTTCTGAATCCAAAGGTTCCATGTCCACAGACTCAACCAATCTCAAACTGAAAGTCTATCTCCCCATAAATGTGTCCTCACTGAGTACAGTCTTTTTTCCTTGCCATTATTTCCTAATCAACATAGTCTAATAACTACTTACATGGCATGTATATTGTATTAGGGATCACAAATCATCTAGAGGTAATTTAAAGTGCTATACAGGAGTATGTGGGCAGTTTATATGCAAATATGATACTATTTTATCCAACATACATGGATTTTGGTATCAACAGGGGGTCTTGGAACTAATCTTCTCTGGATTCAGAGAGATAACTGTATCTATCATTTTTAATGATTCTTAGCCTTAACACACTTTACTTTTTTTTTTTTTTTTTTTTTTTTTTTTTGGTACCAGGGATAGAACTCAGGACCTTGCACTTATGAGACAGCAGCAGAACCAATGAGCTAAATCCCTGGCCCTTTACTTTTAATTTATTGTCTAACAGTTGGTCTAAAATGGCACCAGATCAGAGGAATTCTATCAAAAATGTGAGATGCTGCAACTAAAACAATAAACCACGGATTTCACGAAGGCAGGAAGCCAGTCTTATTCATCTTCCTATCTCCAGCACCTAGTATAATGCTGAGCCAGAAATGCATCTGCTCAATTTCATTTCTCTTCCCTACTTCCACTACTACACTCAAAGCTGAAGTCAAAATACCAAAGTGAGAAGAAAATAAGAACAGCTTATGAATCAGCTGATATTTGGAGAATGCCATCCGTTAACAATAAGAAGCTATTTGAGTCCACAATACCAATTCCACCAAAATTTGGAGGACAGACCTACCTTCTTGCTTTGAAACTTGTAGTTTTTGGCCATTACAAAAGGCACCTCTTCCTTTCCTGCCAGTATACATCTTATCTTCCACGCAACTGTACACCACTCCAAATTCCATCTGCAGAGGAAAAACAAGTTTCCTTTACCAAACATGAGTATTGTTCTTCATTAAATCAACATTTTCTTTTCTAACACAGAATAAGAAAAGGTAGTATATTGACTAACAGTGTATTCAAATGGCTAAACTGTGGGATATATAAAATGTTTATTTCCAGCCTAAACAGAGAAAGAGGTCATCAGACTACAATCCTTAACTTTCCTCCCACCCATGTCTAGACTTAGAGCACCACCTTACCTCTCTACCCTAACTTTACATGGAGAGAGACTGTGTTAGGATTCCTACTCTCTCATCCATTCCCTGAAAAACCTCTTCAACGGATTCCTCTTATTTTAAATTTCTCCTCTGGAACCTTCTCACCAAGTTTCTCCTTCCCTTACTGCTATGATCTGGATGCCTGTCCCCTCCAACACATGTTGAAATTTAACTGACAATGTATTGGCATTGGGAGGTGGGTCTTTCAGAGGTGATGGGTGGGTTAACTGCCTCATAATTGTGCTCTTTCAGTTTTTCTCTCCTTTGGACAATGTAGCACACAAGCCATCTTGGAAGATAAAGGGCTCACTAGGCCAAACCTACTGGTGCCTTTCACTTTAACTTTTCCACTGCCCAGAACTGTGAGGAACACATTTCTGTTCATTACAAATTACCCAGTCTCCACTATGGTTTCTGCAGCACACAGTCAAACCTTTTTACCTCTTCATTCTCAAAAAGTAATCTACATTTTCTATCTCCTAATCTTTTATGTTAAATTTGGATTATGTTCTGATTAGTCGTTCTTCTGACACTCCAAGGCAAAGAACTTCAATTAAATCTTACTGACTCAACTACTTCCTCTAACATATACCCATGTTTCTGGTGGTTCTCTCTTCATTGTACTTCACTCACAAGTCCATCTCAGTATCACTATATTTGAACCTACTTCTCTGTCTAGTGCTTAAACGTTGCCTATCTTCGGCTTTTTCCCCCTTCTTCCATTTCCCTTTTTCTTTCTATACTCAGGTTATTCCTTTCCAGTCTCCAAATTCAACAACCACTAATAATTCTGGCTCCCATCTATCCCATCATCTCAGGTAAGAACCTATGCTTTGGACTCTATCTTGCAGATACATCGTTCAAAGTGATCAAAACCAAAATTACTTCAACTTCTCCCAACTGTTCTTTCTCATTAAAATGCTTTCCTTTTATTGGGCAAATCCCTAATTTTCTAAGTGCCAACTCATATAACTTCTTCTACTATGAAGATTTTCCCAACTTACTACTAGCAGAATTGTTTATATCCTCTTATGTATCCCACAGTATTTTTTTCATGGTCCAACCACGTGCTCTGTTTACTTGTTCCCACAGCTGACTTTGCCCTTAACTAGGAGTCCGATGGAAGGCACAGCATCTAGCCCACACTGATTAGATGTTAATGCTCACTTAGCTCCTTTTGGATGTGCTCACTGATTAATACAGTGTTGTGGTGAATCCTTCATTGGTACTAATTTTGTCTTTTCAGACATTTCTTAATCATTTTGCTTACACGCTGGTCAAAGACATCACAAGCTCCTTGAAGACAGGAGTGCAAGACATTTGTTAAACATCCCTCACTATTTGGCTAGCAAAAGCACCAAACAGCAAAGAAATGCAATAGGTAGATTTCACCCTACTGTGCTTTAGATATAAACATTCAATTAGGTTTAGGTTCCTAAAGAAACTGCATTTTCCAACCATACTTCGGCTCCCACCACTTCCTGTTCTTTGAATGTTTTTTTCACTGACACAAGGCATTCTCAGCTCAAATCTGCCTCTTTTAAGATGTATTTTAGATCACATCAATTCCTATCATATCTGACTCTCTCACATAAATAATAGTAATTAGATATTGAGTTGTATTTTTCTTATATGTATTTTATCCTAACAACTCCTGCTTCTCAGAAACACTGCATTCAAAATAATGTATATGAATTTGAATACAGAAACCAATCTAAACCTATTAGAGACACATTTACTGTTTCACAAAATGACAAGGCACTTTATGAATCATACATTTAAAATAACATACCTTTTTATTTACAACAAAGCCAATCGAAACAGCTACAAAAGGAAATCTTTAAAAAAGAGACAAAACCCACAAATTTACCAAGACAGAACTTAATTTCAACAAAATTCATCTTTTCATAAGTGCTTCCCGAAGTTTTCAGTCTCACCCCTCCTCCCCCAATAAAGTAAAACACAGCAGTTTTATAGTATGCGTAAATGGAAGGGAAGGACGAAGTATATAGATATACTACAAATACATTCCTATATGCAGGATTCTTCTACAGGAATGAAACATGTCTGACAGGATTCTCAAGAAATTGATTAATAGTGACCACTTCCAGAAAAAGATCCTCAGAAACTGAGGAAGAGAAGGAGGAAGTGTATTATGTACTGCATGTTCCTTTACATCTGCTGAACATCAAGTGCTGTGAATATAGTAACTATGTTAAAAAAATTTTTTAAATAAAAATAAATTCAGCCAGTTGTGGTGGTGTACTCTAGGAGGCTGAGGCAGGAAGATCACAAGTTCAAGCTTGGCCTGGGTACCTTAATGACTTAGGGAGACACTGTCTCAAAATTAAAAGTAAAAAAGAGATGGGGGATACAGTTCAGAGCAAAGGACCTGGATTCATCTCCAAAATAACAAAACAAGCAAAAACTAAATCAATAAATTGAAAAAAAGTTTTAAATTGATTATGGATTCTTTTAAAAAAAGAAAGTACTACTTTCTGTTTATTTCCTCATAGCTTGGTCCTGTGGTAAACTCAGGAAAAGAAAAAAACTGTTATTTGTCTCCACTCTAACACCAAACTTGGTACTTCACAAATTTAAAAGGAAATGGGCAGCCACAGTGATTTCTATGGCTGCATGACAGTTTGAACAGTTTTAATTTCTGACTCAAGAAAATTAGGCTGAAGAAAGTAAACTAAGTACAACATGACCAGTGCATCAGGCTTTCTGTAGTGATAATACAGTGACTTATAATACACTTTCTCTATGCCAGGCACTACATTAAGTTCTTGTATAAATGTGCTACTCAGGGAGTCCTAACAATAATTATGAAGCAGGTACCTCTAATATAGCCATTTTCGATACATTTTAAAGATTGAAGTTTCAAAGACTCACTAATTTGCCCGGGGTCACAAAGCCAATAAAGAAGCACCGATATTAAAATCCAAGTCTGTTGATTCTAAAACCTAAGCACTCTTTAACACTTTTTTCTCCCAGAAGAAATTCATTTTATATAGACAACTCTCTTCTAGTGACCTCATTAGTTTTCTATTAATCTCAAAGCATTCATTTTGCTTCCTTACATTTTTCTACTGTAGTGAGAAAAAGAATGGTACACTTTACAACACAAGGCATGCCCAAAACATTATTACCTCTTCACCTCCTCCTTATGTGATGTAAGGTCTTCAGCATAATACGTTTTGCTCTACTATTGACATTTTACATGCATTTTCTGAGAGTTAAAGAAGCATAACTTATATAATCCCCCAACATGTGAATGTTCCCAGGCAGAGTCCTCCAGAGGTCTCTTTGGTTAATAAACAGTAATTATATTAAAACTCAGAAACATACCTATGTACAAAGTTAGTTGTCCCATCGATAGGGTCAATGATCCATGTGGGGTTGTCACTTAAGATACTTTTTTCCCCAGCTGCCACAGATTCCTCACCAATGAAACTACAAGCAAGGAAGACAAATTAATCTCTACATTGCTTTCCACCACTTCAAACCATAGCATTTCCTTAGCTACAAATTCTACTATAAAATATAACCAGCAAGTACACTATTTTTCTCCTTTTTTCTTCCTGTAGAAACCAATAAAAGTGACAAAGGTTTATTTCTTGCAGAGCAAAGGCACATGGAAAGTTACGAGGGCAACTATATGAATGTACACACATGTGCACCTAAAAAGCACATTTACTGCAGATGAGAGATCATTAAGGAAAAGCAGTTAAGTCCACAAGCTCTGGGCCCTCCTTTTCAAAATACAGAGCCTAATACCCCTTCTAGGAAGCTGCCAGCAGGCAACCCACAAGGAAATGAAGTTGCCAACAATCACAAAAATAAACAGATCCTTCAGTCCTAGTCAAGCCTTGAGTTGACTGCAGCTCCTGTGAGACACACTGGCCAAAACCTTGTAGCTGAATGGACTCTCATATTCCCACCTCCAGTAAAATCATGAGAAAATAAGTTTGTAGTCCAGAGCTCTAGAATTTTAGGGTAATTTCCTTTGCAGTAAAATATAAAAATACAGAGAACACCAAATAAATTAATGAGAAAGCAAATCACTCACCAAAATTCACATGTACATTTCTTGCTAAAATATGCTATAAAATTTACATAAATTTCAACAATTTTGTCTGAGTTATCTGGTTTTAATTTTCTATTTTGTTTATTTTCCATTATTCAACACTAAACTGATGATCTTTTCTAATCTTTTTCTCTTAGCTATAGACATTCTCATTGGGGAAAAGCATACTTAGCCACAATTTTTTGTTCTCAATGTCTAAAAGACCAGGAATGGGCAATGGCACAACTAGGAAAAAGTAGAATGGCACTGCTAACACTTAAAATAAGGGCAGTATTTCTCTGCATGTGAGAGAGCCCTAAATTTAGGATTTTCTTCCCAACTCCTTAAAAATACTTCTACTCTGCCACACACAAAAGCCTGCAACACAGTGAGTATAACTAAACTTTTAAATCATGCCCATGGCAGGAATTTGCTTGCCAGCATCCAAACATTCTTCTTATGGAGGAATCCAAACATTTCCTCTTCCCTGATCCCTGGCGCCTTGAGCACAGGCAAACCACTAAGCTCAGCAACAGTGTTCCTGTCCAGGATTCGAGATAAAGATATAGGTTTGTTAGAAAGTATTGAAAACCATCAGTCAAGAGTAAGGCCACCTGAGCCATCCTAAGCAATGGCTTCTGTGTCACCTCTAGGTATGACTTCCTCCCTTGAAGGATCCTAAGTTACCTGGCACCCTTAAAACAAATTCCCTCTCAGCTTAAGTTAACTAAGCAAAGTTCTGTATCTGGAATCGAGACATTAGCCCAACACAGGCCTAATTTTATCATTTGAAATTGATTTAAGAAATACCTGTGGGATGGATACTTCTCCTTTATGGAGGAGATAAGCATTTTTTCAACTTTTTGATCAGTAGCAGTTACCAAATCAGCTGGAGAACTTTTAATCATAACATTCACTTCTTTTTTTAGAGCTTCACGGATCACCTAAGATGATTTTTTGGTAGGCAAACAGAAAAGGTATAAGTAATTTTACAGCAAACAAAAAGATAAAATATACAAATGGTTTAAACATTCAATCTGCTTTAAATGTTAGTCATAAAAATTTCTTACAAAATGTCCTATAAAATAAGCCTTTAACAGTAATGACCTTCTAGATACAAAAATCACATAATCTTATTTTGGATTCATAACTGTCACCACAAAATCTTTAATGATATGAAATTGAAATATTCACTCTGTTAAAATGTCTACTAAAGTGAAAACAAATGTAGATTAATCAAAATATGTGATTTACTTTAACTGCAAGTACTTACCTCTCCAGCTTGTCTTGCTAACGTAACTGCATAATCCATGCATTCTTGCCAAGGATCAGCCATCTTCTGAATATATTTAACACATAGAAGCACAAAGTAGTTAAAATCTCTGAAAGACTTAATTACAGAGTACTTAATTCACAAAGACATCTCAATTAGCAACAGATTTTTATTTCAGGATTCACCCTCTCCCCTATTTAAGTGTTTGATCTTTTTTTCCCATGACCTATTTATTCATAGATGCAGTAAAAAAAAATCATTTAACTTAACATATCACTTGTATCGTAGAAACATTTTCATAGTAAAAGCTATTCTGTGAAATTGTCTCACAAAGAATCCATCCCACATCACATAAAAAACAAACAAAAACACTGGTTTGGGGAATGTGGAAGAAAGGACAAGAATTATTTAAAAGATAGGTGCTATACATGGTTGGGTGGCAAAGAAAGTGAAAATAGAGAGAAGACACTGGGAATATCATAACAGAAGCTGTGAAGGAGAGGAGCAAAAGGCACATGTACTGACTGAGTGCCAGACAGCTAGATGTACCAAGTGTGTGACTTTTTTTTAAGTAAGGTTTTAAAGATGAAGATTTTAAGGCGTAAGCATAAATAATAATTTTCCCAATGTGATTAGAGAATTAACAAAGACTTTTGAACTCTATTCTGAATTTAAGATCCACTGCTCTTTGTACTAAAGAGGTCTTCCCTGAACCTAGTTTTGTATTCAGACCTGTCCAGCTTTCCACTCACTTCTGATAGCTCTCTACTGGTTTGACCACACACTAAAATTTGAGCCTAGCATGGAGAAGCATTTCAACTGTTACATCCACAAATGTGACAATCTGCATAATGCAATCCCCATGTTGTCTCCTTTTCAGCTGAGAATAACCGACAAGTTTCATCCCGAAGACTGTTCAGAAATCTCTATGGTGTTCTTCACATTATAGGAAAGGGGACAGCAGAGCACGGGAAGGCAAAAGGCACGGTTAAGTTTCTGCCGGTTGCTTTTCCTTCCTGATGCAAGCATTTAAGTAATTTCTAAAATGAGACCACTTTTTGAGTTACAGAAGTAGCAATTTCCACCTCTTTTAAGAATGGTTTCCCAAGCCTTCTCCATTCATGTTGCCATTCCAGTCTTTTCCTCTTAGCAGAACTTAAAACTCTTGGTCTGTGTGTGCTTTCTCCTCAGATGTGGCTCAAGCCACTCACATCCCACCTGCTGACAACACTGTATCACTCCCACCAATTCTTCAAGGCCTATTTCAAAAGTTACCATCTCTTTTGGGATTCTCCAGCCAGAAACTGTTTAATTGTTCAATAGAACGTTGCTAAGTATTTATTATGTGCTGTACACAGCACCATGATGAGGAAAGCCAGGTCACATGTTCACTTACTTTCTGGTGAGGAGGCACATGTTAAGTGAAAGAAAAAAAAATCACAGACTACATGAAAAATCCTAAATGTTAAAAGTTTACATAGGGGCAGTGCAATGAAAAGGATGTAACAGGGGAGCTGTGATTGCGCTCAGGTGTCAGGTAAGGTTTCCCTCAGGTCATGATTGAACCAAGAAAAGAAGGAAAAGTGAATACTCAACTACAGCGTTCTTGGTACTTGAAAGACCCAAGCATGATGGTTATGAGATCAGTGGAAATAGAGAGGTTACAGCTGGTGGAGGCAGTGAGAACACCCTTTACAAGGACTTAGACTGAACAGAATGGAGTTGAAGGTGGAGGGGAAAGGCAAAGAGTGGGTATGGGCAGACAGTTTTAGATTCAGGACGCTGTACTCCAGAGCAGACCCAAAGGTTGACTTAAATCTGGAAAGGAAGTTGTGTAGGCAGATATACTGTGAGCACTGAGGTATCTTTTAAGGAGGCTAAAACTAACGGGACTTGGCAACAGAGTGCACATAGGTATGAGGGAGGAAGGATGAATGATGCCCACATTTCTGCAGTGGCAACTCTGAACAATGGCATCTAATGAAAAAGGAAGCAACTGAAGCCGTTTCAGATTTGGGTAGGAGACAGGAAGATCAAAACTTTAATTACTGGATGGGAGCACTGTGTAAAATCAGGAAGCAATGCCAGTTAGGAGGTAGTAGATAGGTGGGTCTGAGTTCAGAGAAAAGGCTCACAGATATAAATATGTAATTCATTTGCACAAGCAAATGAGTCTGAATGACAGTGCTGGAGCCTTGGCATGGAAGAAACCATAAAACTTGTACATCACTTTTAGAACACTCAGCAATGTCTTCCTACATTTTAGCCATCCGTGGTCATGCTGTGTTCACAACCAGTTTTGTATACAATTCTTGAGCAAGGGAGCTAATACGAGAAATTATGTGATACCCTAAGGTTAATCACAAGGACCAGAGAGATGAGATGGAGGAAGTTCATTAGTAGCAATTGGAAGTGAGGGTGTGAAACCAACAGAAAGACTGTTTATATTGAAACCTAAAAATTCTTTCAGCTTTAGGTCCCAGCTAGGTTTGTCCAAATGTTACCTAACCTCACTGCTAGCAGTTTTGGAAAACTTCTCCACGGTCCTGCTTCTTTTTCTGGTAAGCATCTGTAAATGGCCTGGTAAATCCTTTTATTTCAGAGATTGTTTTGGTCTCAACAACAACAGCATAGGGGATTTAGCTCAGTGGCACAGCGCCTGCCTGGCAAGCGTAAGGTCCTGGGATCCATCCCCTCTACCATAAAAAAGAGAGAACACTGGTATAGTAAGCATCAGTGACACTGCACTCTTCAAAGCTATCAATCCTGAAATGTTTCCAAAAGTTTCTGTCCTGGCCAGTCTTCCCTTAGTGGGAGCCAAGCCACTCTCCTCTCTGTCACCTCGCCCAGACTGGGGACAGCACGGGACCTGGGGTCCTGTCCTACTACCTACAGCGTGACAACCTTGATCCCCGGCATCCGCCAGGTCTCTCCGATCTTCCTCCGGTAGGTAAAACGCAAATTAGGCAATTACTAAATCAACGGTCTCAGGGGATAAGTAAAATCGCGAACGCCCAGGCTGTTTCTGGGGTCAGGGGAGAGGCCTCGGGCACTCGCAGCACTGAGATCGCCCCCGCCGCGGCCCGCCCGGCCAGCACACCCTG